CAGTCTTATTCACACCCCTTCAAATAAAGTGTTACCCATTTGGTTAAGCTGGAGGCACACATATGAATGATTTCCCCATTTTCACCTACAAATGGAATTCACCATTAGTCAAAGTGGTTTAAAAACAACAAAGTCCATGTTTTGGAGTGATCATAGCAAGGTGTTGTTCTCAGGCCCACAAATAAATGTATAGCAGAGTTGAAAACATGTCTGTCACCAGGAGGACTGCAAACCTGGCCCAGTTGCACCAGGTTTGCAGTCCTCCTTGGTGCAAATTAAGTCAGGGCCAGAATTTCAGCACACTACTGTGAGAAATTTGTAAATGGTTAATGGCTTTGACTTTCATAGAGCTATATCAAGTCCAAAGGACCCCAACATGCTTCACACTACAGTCATTCACCACATGCTGATGGTGGCAAGCTACTGGGGCAGTCTGACAGAGGGGAGGCTGCCATGCACTGATGCCAAGGGGCCCTCTGACCACCACCAGCAGGCATGGTGGGTGAGGTGTCCTGCCCACAACAATAGAGGAGGGCGGAGCAGGGATTGAACCAACAACCAGTCGATTGCAGGGTGAACCCCTCTAACCATCGCCCCCATTTGTAGAAGACTTTATCTGTTTGTACCATACCCACCTATAGAGGGAGCTTGGTAATTGTCTCCATCAAGTATTTCTACAGCGTCGTGTGAGCAATTAGAGTTTATCTTCTCCAACTCAAAGTCAGTGAAGGACAGGGTCACATGGTTGACTAGCCAGAAAACACAGACACAAATGAATCTTTTTAGGTTTAACAAAGTATATCATATATAGCATAAAACAATACAAAACATATTTATTAATTGACAAAGGCAGCCCACAGCTTACATGGTTCCTGTGCTTTGATGATCCAGCTGCAGTTCTGATTTGGTGGATATTTTGCAGGGTACCTTGGTGATGAAATTGCCCCACCATTATTGTCTGTTATAATGGTTGCTCCACAAGCTGTCAAACAAAAGATTGGTGTTATCCATACTAGGATGTGATCACATTTGGGCTTCCTCTACCTGAAACAGGAGAGCAGTTCTCCCAGTGCCCATTCACTAAATTGTCCACTCTCCTGCAGGCCCACCGAAATACATATTGGAGAAAATATGAGAAACAGGTGGAAGCACAATATGACCATGTAATAATCATATTGTGTTTCATTACATGATGCACCTGAGCATCAGCAGCAATGCATTCTGTTAGCATTTGTGAAACGGATAGATAAAATAACACACAACAAGAGACTTCTTATAAAAAAGAAGAAAATGTCACCTTCAGAGAATCTAGCACTGAAGCCTCGATGATTTTGACTAGAGTCTGATCTAAAGCGGACATAGATGGTGTTCTGGGTGGAGGTGATGGAAGGAGGTGGGCTGGACCCACACACATGGGCAAGCAGAGGAAATAATATGCTCGGACCATCATGGACCTACAGTAGAAGAAAGAGTTCAAAGGTCTTTAAAAGGTGTGTAGCTAAAATGACTGAAACAAAGTGTGGTTAACCAGAAAACTCATTTTTCTTCCACGCCCTGTTTTTTACCGTTGTGTTTTATATTAACATTTATTTCATAAACAAATCTACGAGTCTCTTACAGTGACATAATCAAAGGAACAGTTGCTGTGATTTTCAATATCCAGGTCGGTGAAGTTTAACAAGATGCGGTGACTGGCATCCACACTGATCATCCATGAGCAGTCCACATTGTTGGGATAGCTGGCTGGGTACAGGGGTGAATGGATCTCCCCTGAAGGAGCAGTGACTGGCCCTCCACACCCTGCAGGAACAAACACCACAAACTTCAGATTACTGTGGTTCTTCTAAAACTGCAGGAACAGTTTACCTCACTCTAAATAAAAACACATAAGAAATGGATATAACATGTATTTAGTCTTTGGCAAAATTTCTTCTTTCATATTTCAAATGCACTGGTTATGTCTCAGCACCAGAAAATCATGTCAATGCTAAATGCTGACATGACTGGAAAATCAGTAGTGTCAAAATAATTTACACCCCATTATCATCTACCAGCTAAAAAACAAGTACAGTTCAGGGATTCCCCCAGTGTATTATAAGCCTGGCAGCCCACAATGCTTTACTAGTCCCTCCACCAGGCTAAGCGCTGCTTGTTTTTGTTTTTAGAAAAATTTATAATTGGGGGGTGGGGATTTGCTTTTTTTTTTTTTTTTAAGCCAGATTGCAAGCATCTCTGTTGCTCTGGCAGAGCAGATTTAGTCCTAAAAGTGGTATATAGTTGATGCATTTAAAGCCAGGAGAGCGAACCAATCACTCAGCCTCTGCGCGTTGCCTCCGGCGCTATAGCTGCTTGATTTCTGAAGTTTACCTCAACGCGGATCGTGCGCTCCTCCTTTCACTCAAACTGGACACAGGCTGACCTGTATGGATATTTACATCAAAACCCTGTTAAGAATTAAGTTTCTTTGAAGAACTATACCACGTTAGCTCTGGTTGCGTAGCTCTATGTGAATCGCAGGTATAACTTACAGTTGCACTTTCAGAGGTGCGTGTTGAGTGGTTAGAATGGTTTATTTAGTGCTTTTCTTGTGTGTTCACTTTGGACTCTGGTCCTCCATTGTTTGTTGTTTTTGGACTCTTTCAGGCGTCTGGTAGCCGCCTTTTGGGGGCGGGGGGGTAAGAGTATTGTTTTTTGTGTGAATTTTTGGTGTTAATTGTGTTCCTTGGTCCTTGTCGGGTCCTAGTCGTGTCATTTGTCATGTGTCTAATGTCCTGTATTCCCGATGCTACCAGTGTCTGCGTTTCCTTGCCTCATCGCTCACCTGTGCTGCCTGGATTTCTGTTCTCCTTCGTGTTTGTGACTAAAAGCATCATTTTTCACAACTACCTGCAACGAGTCAACGACTCCATCCTATCCTCACCATCTATAACTCCAATTCATGACATCACTATGCAGGGCAGGTCCAAGGCTGTCTGAGGCCTTGAGCAGGATTTGACTTAGAGGCCCCTCTTGCTGCTAAAAACATCAGCACCTCTAACAGCTTTTGTGTTAGATTTAATCTGGGAGACGGGGACTAGTTTAGTTAGCCAACCTAAAAAGCAATAAGTCATATTTGCAGTTTACTAAATTGTATTTGTGAACAAACAGAGCTCAACTCAAAAATTAAACTTACAGCATTAGATTGTAGATGTGGTAACAAAACAATCTAACTATGAAGATTGTTTTTTTGAACTTTTACAAAGTAAACTTCCCAGCTCCTTAAAATCTTAAATTTAAATGTTAAACAATTTAAAATCTTTTAATGTATGTATGCTGAAACCATTAAATCAAATTTAGCAGCATTGATCATCTCACTAAACAAATGTTACATTTACATGTCTGTGGCCTGTGTTAAAATATTAGCATTTATGGGGCCCCTGAAGCCCTGGGGGGCCTGATGGAGCTGCTGACTTAATTTGGATTAAACAGACGTGAAAATAATTGATATTCATTTTATTTCTATTTTTTGATTAGTTGTTTTTAAGACTAGTTGTGGGTTTAAATAGTGTTTCACTGGTGATGTTTTCCTGTAATATTTTTACGTTTCCTGTATCTTTTAATACAGAAACATGATGGACTGCTGGTGGACCACCTTGGCACCCCGATCACCAGGCTTAGCAAGTTTCTGGAGGAGACCCAGTTCATTTGACCAACATGTTTCTTCTGACTGGAAGTAACATTTACTAATATTGTAGAATTTGATCTGTGGTGTAAAGATTAGAGTGATGGTAGGAAGTCCTTCCAATCTCAAACTTGGAGCTCATCAAAGTATAAACAACAGCCAAATAGATGAAATATGGAAAAATCAGCTCAGCAATGGATAATTGGAACAATAAATGCTTTTTCATATGGGGTGCTGTTTGTAAAGTCACATAGTAAAAAATGATCAGAAATAATTTGGCTTCTTTAGCATGACATAGATAAAGACATGTGGATGTTAATTTTTCAAAGTCATATTTTCACCATGTTATTCCTAAATTTATAAGTTTAAGAGTTCCAAACTAAATATTTAAATTGCTTGCAAAATATTTAGTTTTATTCGCCAGGCTGTCAGACTGCTGACCTCCCGTCTCTGTTTGACCCCGTCCCTGGATTTTAACCTTAATCTTGGTTATTGTATGTACTTATTTTACCTTGTTTTTATTTATTTATTTCATTTAAATGTTTGAGAGATTATTTTTATATTTATCTGTATGTCCTACACACATGGTGAGGTGACTATTAAAAAATGATGCTACTGGATTTCACAGCTCTATTTCATTGACTATGTGAGTTTTTGATAATGGAAAAAATTAAAATGGATGAAAGGCATTTCCCCCATTTAACTTTCACTCTCAGTTATCAGGCAGAGACCAGTGATTCTCTCTCAAGCAGCACGTTATTAATTCTTGCAAGAATGAGAACAGCAAGCACACATGCTCTGTGTCTGCTCAGTCTGGCCTGTTCTAACTAGACACAGAGTCACTACCTTCCTGTAGTTGACACAAAGTTTCTCACAGGCAGTTTGGGAACCATTGTTTCTGTCTCCGCATTAGGACATTAACAAAAACCTTTAAAACATTGAAGAGGGTCCATTCTTATCTAAATCCTCCCTAAGTTCCAGCAGAGTGAAAATGCAATAAGCCTCACACGAATGTGGCTACAGATGGAAGAGGGAAAATTAAATAGTTTCTTGGGGTTATAAATAAAGAAGCAGAAGCTATTTTCCTAAAGTATTTTCACTGACTGGTACTGACTCACCTCCCTGGAGTTCTGTCCAGCTTGCATTGAATCCTCGACCACTGACATAGGCATCAGATTTAAAGCGCACTGTGATCTGGTTTCCTGTGCTAGAGACTTGCATTGGGTTGGAAGTAGTGCTGCAAAGCCTGGCCAACCTGGGCGCCTGTAAGTCTGGGCCTCCATACACCTACAAAGAAGTCATTGCAAGTTAACTTGTAGCCCATATCAAAAATCAACACTTTGTGCACATTTTCAAAAAAATGTTTAAGAAAATGTTTTATTGTCTCAACACAAATATGTCTTAGGACTCTCAGTTTTTATATTCAGGAAGATTTATAGGAAGTCCTTTGGTTTTAAATATTAAATTAGAAATGCCCCTCTCGATGAGACAATGGTCACTTATCGTCCTCCAGCTGCATGTGAAATTTCAAACTCTCTGTAGGAAGCCAAGATTCTTCGAGATTTGCATCAATCAGTCTGCTGTTGAAAGCATCATCTCTGTTGCCACCACCTGTTGGGGCAGCAGCATCAGAACCAGGGACATAAGAAGACTCAACAGCCTGATAAAGAAGGCTGGTTCTGTTCTGGTTCTGTTCTGGTTCTGTTCTGGTTCTGTTCTGGGGACTGCGGAACCTCTGGAGATGATGAGGCAAAGAATTATTCTTCATAAAACCAAGAAAATTATGGACAACACTGACTATCCTCGTCATGAGACTGTTATGAGAAAATAGAGTATCTTCAGTCAGAGGCGTCTTCATATTCACTTTAATACAGATTGCTACAGGAGATTTTTCCTGCCAACAGCAGCTACAATAATTCTGAAGAATTTGAATTAATATGACTTACAACATTTAATTTCCCTTTGGTATCAATAAGGTATTTGAAAAAACTAATTTAAACCATTTCTATTCTGCTTTTCCTCACTCTCTGGGTCAGCTTTACTCTACACGCAGACCCGTTGCCATGTGACAACATTTCTGCTAAGTAGCAGAGCAGAGAGTAATACATTGACCAGAATGCCCTGCACTGTATTTAGCTTCCTGCTTTGGAGCGATCTCTGGTCCACTTGCATTCATATTTCATTCGGACCACACCAGAGTTCACTTCAACCGAACCAAAACTGAGGGTTTCAGGAGAACCAGAGATCGATTGCACATTCACACCTTCCCAAACGAACCGGACCTTCTAGACAAACAAACTGGAGTTCAATTAAAGCAGACTAAATAAGCCTGGTGTGAATGCATCCCAAGACAAAATAATTGATAGTTGACTTCAGGAAATGCAACAAGAATCAACCACAGATTTAAATCAATAATGTTTGTGTGGAGATTGTGTACTAATTTACACTTTTTGGGGTACACATCTCTGACTGTCTCACCTGGTGGTGGACAAAAAAGCTTTGGAAAGAATAATCAAGTCTGTGAAAAGAATTAATGGATGTCCACTTCCTTCCAACATGCGTATTTTGTCCAAGGCAAAGAACATCATTAGAGATGTCACCCATCCTGGTTATCACCTGTTTGAACTGCCCCCCTCTTGAAAGGCGATATGGGTCTATCACAAACAGAATTTCCAGGTGTATAAGGAGTTTCTTTCTATAAGATGTGAGAGTTTTAAAAGGTTATTCATTGGTATTTTAAACAAGGCTGATATTTAATTAAATTGGTGTTTTCCCTTTTTTATGTTGCTTTAATGTAACCCATTGTGATACATATTGAATCTTGTGCTGGAGGCTCAATGACAATAAAAGGCTTATGACTTTTTGTTTTTACTTTTGCGTTTCCATTCTATTTCTGAATTTCAGAAATAAATGATAGCAATATTCAGGTAACTCTGATGCATAGATGAGTTGCATTTTTTCCATGTAACCATCAGAAATGTTGCTTTTTTTACTTCAAGTAGAACTGCCCAAAGATGTCACTAGTTGAGTTTACACTGGCTACAGCTTAGCAGACCTAGAAACATGAATGTGATTGTTTTTGGCTAAGAAATTGGACATTACTTACTTCTAGTACATCATAGTTGCAGTTATCATGGAACTCCACATCAAACTCATGGATAGTCAAAGTAATGCTGCTTCCAGGTGTTGTGGTGATATACCAGATGCACTCTCTGTTGTCAGGATACTTGTTTGGATAGCCCGGGCTGCTAATGGAGCCATTGGGCCCACCAACATCCCCTCCGCAACCTGCAATGACACACATCAATGACGGGCCACAACTACAACTGGTTCCATTTTGCCTAGATTGACAGTTGACAACTGGCCATCTAACTAATAAGATGTAACAAAGATTAGTTTCTTTAACTTTTCTGTCTGATCTGTGTATTCTAACTTGTAGCAACTCAGCTTTGTTAAACCTTATGCAGTTTCTCTCTGACTCACACTGGAAGACCCTGGGAGGAACGGTTTTTGTTTCACCCATTTAACAAAAGATGTGATTTATTTGATTATGAAAAACATTTGCTGTTCAAATAATGACAGGTAAAAGTTCCCACACTAACCCTAACCTTTGCAAAGTTGTTGATATTTAAACTGGCCAGACCCATTTTGTTCTCTGGAAACAGTTTCACCAGTCTAGATCATGTGACCTCCGGAACATGATGTAGATGTTCCCACAGAGGTTTCTCTTTAAAATTCAAATGCATATTTTTAACTAGGAAAGAAGAAAATGTTCCATGTTTGTCTTTATCCCACTTTTTCATTAATTTACTCTGACATTTTTCTCAAGGTATCATAAAATCCTAATTTATCCATCAATTGTTGTCTTTGAGAAAACATGAGTTTTCCACACCAAAAGAAAAGAACCAAATGATACCAGATACTGGAACATAAACTCCCATCCTGAGTGTTTAAGCCTTGCAGGGATAGGAAGGAACAGGCCACCAAGGAGGATAGGCAGCCATTTTTCGCTATTACTTTTACGTATTTGATGAACTGATGAAAAATTACCTTCAAACTTAAAATTGAGACTATTATTGTATGGCAAAATATATTCCCCTAAATTTAGCTTGGAGTTGCTGTTCATTTATTGCTTTCCTCACTTAATACTTTCTAAATTACTGATTAATACATTGATTTAGCTCCAAAGATTTCCTTAATTTTTTTAAAAAATTCATCTTCTTGTTTCCTTGAATTGTAATTCAACAAATCTAAGGATAGTTTGGTTTCATTTATTTGCATTTCTTTTAGTCCCAATAGCATCATTACTCCTGATCAGTCAGAATCTAATGATGGAAAACATTGAACATTTGCTTCTTATTTGTGTATATTACTTCAAAAACATTAAAAGAATTGCACTTTAATTGCAAAGTTCAATGTCCATTCATTTGGTTCAAAACTCTCAAAGTAAAATATTTGAAAAGTTGAGTTGGTGTCAGTGGGGTGTTTGTCTCGCTGCCAAACTTTATTTAATTATGTGCACGTATGCAGTTTTGCATATTTTTTAAGGGAACTTTTTTGTTCATTTATTGAAGTTGTATATTTAATTTGACAATATGCAAACTGTTCTTTATCACAGAAATCAGTCTTTATTTCTTAATGGTTTAAAATTCATCCTTTATACTAGCATTCCATGCAGAACACTGTGAAAAGTTCCCATTTGTTCATGGCTGCTATGGAGGAAGGTGAGCTGGTGTCAGCTGACTTTCTGCTGAACTCTTTTGTCTATTTTGTGCAAATTGACAAGAGAAACATGAGTTTCTGCTAACACCAGTTAGGCTGAACTGGAACTTCTGTGCCATCTTCATTTAAACAATGCAGAACTTGATGGTCTGCAAGAAGAAACCCTAAACCTGACTACAACGGCCTCTGGTAAATTCCTTTTCATCAATAACATTTTGGATTTACAGTCCTTTGATATTCTGACTATTGTGCAATAAAATAATTGCAGACAGTCCATAATATTATGGCTTATTATGGATTGGATTATGGAAAGCTTTTACATAATAATTGTAAAACCTATCTCACCATTCTGATACCACATCATCTGAAATCCAGGCATGGATATGGAGGAGTCTGTTCTAAACACCAGGGTGAGGGCGGAGCTTGTAGTGCTGTTAGCTGGAGGTGGTGTATTCCCACAGAATGCACCAATCAGAGGAGCTTGCTCATTAGGGCCATTATAGAGCTAGAAAAGAAATATTAGGAGAAATGTTTCAATATAAAAATATTATGCTATACTTCTGTTACTAGAAATATTCACACAAACTGCAAATTTAATAGGTTAAACTTATGAAAGTCTTAAACTGTTTACATATTGGGAGGATGGAAAATTAAGTTTATGAACTTTAAGCTTAACCTTTAAAGTGTGGAAATTTTTTTCTGCTGTGAATTCATTTTGAAACAGAAACCTAACATTAGTTTGAACTTTGCAAACCAGACAGTGTGCTAAGTGGCTTCTGTGTTATAAAATGCAATGCTTCTCTCTCTGCTGACAGGAAGTTTGACTTCCTGTTACCAGGTCTCATGCACAACATCTTTGAGAACCAATAGCTGCCAGCCAGGGTCCTGCCCTGCTCCAAGACACCGTCCCCAGGTCATCCCCACACCAGCAGTCCCAGTTGAACCAGAGCAGAGAGTTGCTCACTGATGTGTAAAACCACTTTCGATTGTCTAATTGGATTTATTCAAAAGTGAGAGATACAGGCAAGAGTAGTTATGGGTCAAAAGAAAATGAGGGGAAAAACGCAGTCCCACATCAATGTTACTACAAATGTTTTAGATGTAGTTGTAAAAAATATGGTAAAACTGTGTGTATATTTGTACCTTTATGTAGTCGAAGTTACAGTTGTAAGTGTCTTCTAACTGAAATGCGGTGAAGGTGTAGTTAATCGTGTTTCCACTGCTAGCCTGGACGGTCCAGCTGCACAGACTGTTGCCTGGGTAGTTGTTAGGAAAGTTCAGCGACTCGATTACTCCTTGGTGTTGATGTGAGATAATTATGTTGTGACACTCTGAAAACAGACACAGTAATGCAAACTAAAGTACACTGCAAAACTACTTTGATTCAGATGTATCTTTTATTTTTTTGCTTTTGTGTATTTTACTGACAAGCTAGAAAAAAAAAATTATTTAATAGATTTAAAATATCTATTTTAATCTATTCTGGTAACGTTTCTATTTATGCAAAAAATATAATTTCTAATAAATAGTTTTTTGCATACTGGTGTTATAAAATGCAATGAAGCCGCCAGTGTTCACACTGCTGTCTGTGCGGAGTTTGATGTACAGTTGATTGCTGGAAGAGTTGATCGGCCTTGGTAGCTCAGTGCCACACAACTTGGCCAGTTCTGGAGCAGTGCTGCTGTTTCCATCATGTACCTAAAAACAAATGACATCAAAATGCTATTAAGAAAGTTAAGATGGATAACATGGCAAGAATGTTTAATGCACTGCTTTGAGTGGGGGAAAAAATGAAGTGTCCTCCTTGATGTCATACTTGCATGGGACAGAAACATGGGGTTTCTGCTAAGTATTCTGAGCAGTCAAATGAAAGGAGTTTGTTGCTGAATTAAATAAGACCATTGCAATAAGCCTTGCTTACTGAAATGACTGTGCTTAGCAATGTGCTTCTACAGTTCTGTATGGAGATCTCAGATTCAGACATTTTCTACATTTTTGAACACTGCAGTAAGATGAAAGTATAATGATTTACTTTCCTGTTGAGATTTTAAAGTACAATAATAACATGAGTTTAATTGTAGGTTTTCACTTATTTTCAATATTACTAGAGACTAAATTCTTCCAATTACTTTAAATCATTTCTACTGTCAGTACAGTCAGCTGGTCTGTTGAAGCGAATTCTACCTGAACAGAAAAGCTGGTGTTGCAGGGATTAGATATAATATGGATATGATGATATATGGTTTCTCATTTGATAAATATGATTTGCTTTAGCATGTGTCTAGAATCAGAGCCATTTACATGAGGATAAGTGCCAAGTATGTTTAATAGCTAATCATAATCCTACATTAAAACCACACTTAGTGTATCCTGCACTTTCTAAAATATCAGGCATGTATCAGGTACTCTTATGTAAATTAGCTATTTTAGAACCTGTTGAGAGACACTACTCACAGCTAGGTAATCATAAGAACAGGATGAGCTGGATTCCAGGTGGAAACCTGAAAAAGACAGTTGGACCTGGCTGCCCTGACTGGTCCTAATGTTCCAGTAGCACTCAGCATTGGGATGATACGGTAAAGGATAATTGGGAGAAGACAATCCTCCAGAGGCAGTTGTCAATGTTCCTCCACAACCTTTATGAAAACGAAGTAAAGCATGTAACTGTATTACAGTTAAAAAAAATCTGAGAACATTCATAGGTGCTTCATCTTTATGCAAGATGTCAGAATAGTGTATCTTTTATTTAAATATGAGGCAATAAATTCCTTGTGCTGTAAAGATATAACTCATCATCAGAGAACTTTGGCATAAGGTTGTCTCAGTAATATTTCTACATCTTTGTCGTCATCTCTGACAGAATCTGATTAGTGGTCCTTTTTCTAAGTTTTCAGTGCTGTAGATTCTCAGTCAATAAAAAAATAGCCACAACTGAAACATGAAACTGAAGGTTTGATGCTGTTGGACTAAACGAGACAAAATAGTTTGGTGTTTGGTTATAACTGAATCTCGATACTTTTGCGATCTAAGCCTCACAGTGTAGATGAAAGAAACAGATAAAGAATATAATAAGCATGTACCTGTCTGTGTTCCATCCCAGTGCGCAATGAATCCATGACTTGTGATTGAGGGATCAGAGTGGAATCTAATCCATAAACGATTGCTATGTGACACCACAACTGGAGGTCTCTGACTGCCACAGAACTTACCAATCAGGGGAGACGTCTCATAGCCCCCATCCCTGTAAATTCAACAGATTTCATTTGTTGTGTTTAGATACAAAATATGCTAAATATACCTTGCAATGTTTTTCTTAATATACGTCTTTTCCATCCTGTTGAAATTTTAAACACCTGCATTGTGAAATGAAGATGACGTGATTAAATAATTACCATTTTTAATTTCTAAGACTAAACAGATTTTTCATTCCTAGGATCTTAAGCATGCATTATTATTTGCTTGGATTCATGCTGTTTAAAGTCATTTTTCACTGAATCTTGCTATTTGTGATAAAAGAAAAGTGAAGATTTTGGGAGGACTATTGTAGCCACTATAAATAGACTACTTGGTCTTTTATATAATAGACTGAGATGAAGAGTGGCGTAAAGCTGTTTAGTTTGCATGTGATGTATTTTCACAATTAACATCAGTCTGGTCAAATGAGCTTCTGGGTAAGGTGTCCCATTCTGCAGTGGTAGTAAGAACCAACAGATAGGAAGAACACAAGGAGATTGGATTCAGTCTATAGTCTATTACTGGACTTCATTTCATACCTGATTTCCACAAAGTCAAAGCTGCAAAAAGGAGGAGTGCCCTCCAACTCAAAGCTGGTGAAGTTCAACAGAATCTGCATGTTGAGCTCAACAATGATCTTGAAGGTGCAGTCTCGGCTGTTGGGATAGCTGTTAGGATAGCTTGGAGAGGTGAAGGTTCCAGTTGGAGAGGTAAAGCTCTCACCACAGTCTAAAAAGCAATAAATAACAATTCTATAAATAAATATCTGGTCAATGTATGAAACCAGTCACCTGAATTAGTCCAAATCATACTAAATGAGAGCATTAAGTAAGGACAGCAAAGTCAAGATTCCCAACACAAACTTGTGTCATATTGTTGAAGGTTGAAAAAAGTTGCTACTTAAAAACACTAGTTAATATTAACAGTCTTCTGATTCTTGCACTGCATTCTTGGAGAATTGACAGTTATGTCCATAACCAGACACTTCATGGATGAATATGAGAAAAGATTTTCTCCGATTAAGCTGCAGTAAAAACTTTACTTTTATTGCCTTTACTTTACTTTAACTTTAACTTTAACTTTACTTTACTTTAACTTTACTTTTATCAATTGTTTTTGACAAACTGAGTACGAAACATTGAAGTCTTTTGGCAGACTTTACCTGTACTAGCATTGATGGACACATAACTGGCAGAGAACCCTTCCCCCGATAAACTTGAATCAGTCACAAACAGAAGGGTCATTTGGTTGTCAGCACTTGTTATAGATGGAGGTACTGAGCGCCCACAGTACCTGTACACATGGCAAAAGACAACATGAAAGTTGCTACAGAAAATGCTTCAACTTTCAGTCACCAGGCATATTCTGTGAGGAGCTAAAATCCATGAATTATTGAAACCCCTAATACAGATTCTTATAACTGTCTATTTTAATAGTTTAAACACAAAATACACCTTATTATTAATATCATGATATATTATTAATAGTAACTGATAATAATAAGTATTATTAATATACTGTACATTCATTCACACACAATGAAAACTGTCTTGGAACAATCAGAAGCTAAAATCTACACAATGTAAAGACAAAAATGTCTCTATTTCCGATAAAATACCAGCAGTTGTGGTTGAAAGAATTTTACTGTAGTAAATGCGGCCGCAGGTTATAAGACATTTCTGGCAAAGTCACTTTAAAATTTCAGAACTGTGAAGCGCTTATGGGAAATTATTAATTCGTGAAAAACTAGCCAAACTGGTAAAAAAGAGTAATGATGGGGAAAATGGGTAATGGAAGAGATCAGGGGTGGCGAACATGCGGCTCTTCGACGGATCATGTGCGGCTCTTTGAAATTTCCCACACTCATTGAAGGCAGCACTGATAAAAGTGTGAAATTTTAAGCTAGCGGTAGAAGTCTGCAGTAGCTGTAGGAAAGGCGGAGAGATGGAAGCGGAATCAATTAGGAGTAAAATCTGTTTCCATGGTAGCAGCTTTCCTCAACAGGTCTCTGTATTTCACGTCGGTGCTGTGAAGCAGAGCAAGCAGCTGCTTGTAAACAAATGTCAGAGTTTGCAGCAGGTTCTGGTGCCAATGAAGGGAAAAGCAAACCGGTTCTGATCACATGAACACAATCAATGCTGTGCATCGCGGTTACGCGCAGAGTGGCAAGTTCATGGATTTTAAATATGGAATTATATTTCTACTGCAGAAAAAAAAAAGAACAAAAGTGAGAGAAATCAGAAAGAAACAGAGACACTACGAGAGTTTAACGCGCTGTCTTAAACCTTTAAGTACGGTTTAATTTGTATCAATGCTTGAATATTAATTCACACTGAACTGAATCCAGGAAGTTTTAAAAGTGGGCGAGGGTGATCTTGGGTTGCTACACCAAAAATATTGGTTAAACTACAGTGTAAAATATGCAAATGGTAGACTTCGCCACAATACCCTGAAATAAGTACAAATCTGAGCCATGCCAGTAAATTGTCCTTCATGTTTCAAAAACGATGCACAGCATGAGACACTTCCACATCCACCAGTTTGGCAGATGGAGCTCAATTTTCTGTCTGTCTGAATGAATTTTTACTACACTGTCTTGTTTTCACTGACAAATGTGAAAGAGTTGGTTTGAGTAGCTATAACAGAGTACAAACCAAATTTAAAGACACTTATTCAAAAATGAACATTGTCAGGTGTACCACTAAAGCCTTAGAGACTAAGGAAAAAGCTGCTTCAGCAAGCAATGTATAAAGCTATGGTAATCTTGAAATTGTTGTATAGCCCTTTACAGTCATGATTAGCTTTATTTGGCTCTTAATGCTAAACTGGTTCACCACCTCTGTAACAAATGGATATCTATTTTCTAAAAAAACAAAACATGTTTTCATACTTCATCCTTGAGACTGAAAGTGAAGTGTTATATACAAGGCAGTTTTTACCAATGCCTCAATTTAACTCTGCTTTCTTAAAGTTCATGTGAAATGTTTTATTTCTCAATGGGGATGTGGACAGTGGGAGAAAGTCAAACATTGTGCTGTACATTGTTGAGTAAACTGCCATGACAGTTAATTTGAACTCTTTTACAGTACTATTTACCATATTTCTTGTCATTACAAAAACACTGAAACAAAAGAGACAAATTTCATGAAAATACTCAAATTGCACAGAAAGAACACAGTCATGGTAAGGCTGACTGTTGTGACAATCTTTTCTGTCATCATGCCATGACTCAAGCATTTCAGCAAAACTTAAGTTAACTATTAGCTTGTAAAAGATGACTAAGTCTTTATTTGATCTACAAAGCTCCTCAAGCTTCTTTAAGGGGATCGTTTTGGAATCTTCACAGTTCCAGTTGATCCATGATAGAATTTTTAGCAATGCTCTCTCATTCAGAGTCCATGGCAGATTTTCTGTTCTTCACATCAAACTAGCACAGAACAAATAATACTGAGCAATAAACGACATTAAACTACATTAAACATTACATGCAGTGAACATACAGTGGGTGCGTTTGTTCATTTTTTAATAGTAACATTAAAAGTTTTAAAATACTAAAACTATTCCATCTGACAAGGTGGCAGGTTTGCCATTCTCATTTAGTTACAAATGAGGTTTGATTTGTTTCATGTTTTACACTTTCAAGTCTTCCCATTAATGTAGTTTTGCTAATCCTGACATTGCCTAATGGTAAAGGTGAGATGGAGAAATAAAAAGCCTAGGGGTAAAATGGACATCTATGGGGAAGTGGAAGGTGTGAGGATTGGGAAGTGCTTTTATACTCTGATGTGTAACTTTCTCTTTCAAAATGTTCTTATTTCTTAATGCCACTTTATGTGTGAGTATGTGTTGTACCTGCCAGTCTTGTTCCCAGTTGTTCCAGTCCCATCATAAACTTCAAGATAGTCATAGTTACAGTTAGTATGGTACTCCAGGTTGAATGAGTCAAACAACAGCCGAATTAGGTTCCCTGGTAAAACACTAATGTACCAGGTACAATTGGCACCATGTGGATAGTTTGTTGGGTGACCAGGGCTGGTAATGGTGCCTGAAGGACTTGTCAAAGTATCTCCACAGCCTGGTACAGGACATAAAATGGTTACATTGTAGAGATCATACTTCTACCACTTTAAAATGTGCAATGTTAAATAAAGAACCATGAACCAAATTTTGATGACATTTTTTTTAAAGCATAACAGTCTTGGAAAATAGCTTGGTACAGTTGTTAGCACTGTTGGTCTTGGGTACAAATCCCATTCTGGACTCCTTTTACATGGAGTTTGCATGTCCTCCCTCTGCACGTGTTTTCTCTCCAGTTACTCTAACTTTCTCCAGCATCACAAAAACATGGATCACAGGTTCATTGATCTAAACTGCCCTTAGGTCGGTCAACATATGAGAAGAAATTTCATCACAAGGAACTTTAAAAAACTTTTGTGGATTTTATTTAGCAGTTGTCATAAAATAATGTGGGTAATGGGAGAGGGGTCATCAGACTGGTACTTGAACACATCACAGTTACATCAAGGACTAAAGCATCCATATGTGGGTTGCAGAGTTTATCCCTGCACCACCATAGCACCTATGAGTCACTTTTTAAGACAAACCAACACATATCAGTTCAAACAGAGCTATCACAGCAGTCAGCTAGGTAGAGTATGTCGACTGCTGGTCACTAGTAGATATTAGGGATACCACAGAGACATACTACAGCAATAATGTACAAATTAACTTAATTGTCAATAAAGTCCAATTAGCCAGTTAGCCAAGCATGTCTTCTTTTACGCATTGGAGGAAACCAATGTGCCCAGAAAAATTCCTGTATGGAAATAGTATTTTAGATATGAAACTAACTAGATTTACATCAGTATATTTCTTCTGCTTGTCTGACCAATGAGCATAGTCAATTAGGACTCTGACAAATAAAAAATATTCCTCCCACCCTCAATGGCAGAGTCATATGCTGCTTCAAAGCCATGGTTGTTGACAGAGGAGTCTGTGCTGAACTGGATGTACATAGATTTCTGTGTTGACTGGAGCCTGGGAGGAATCTCGTCACCACAAAATTTCCCCAGGAGGGGAGAGCTAGGTGAGGGTCCATCCCTGACCTAAAAAGAGAGATAGTTTTTGACTTCTGTCCATCACCTTGGCAATTATCATTTCATAGAAAAAAAAAACACCAAAGCAATAATCATTACACAAAAATTACTTTAAAGATCTTACCCAAGCTTTACAAATATTATAAGGAAAAAGGTTAAACAAAGAAAAGTGATGTTGACACTGAAAGTATTTTGTGTCTTTATATAGATATACTGGTAATTATTGTGTTCAATGGAAGACCTCAAATGTAGGCACCATAAATCTGAAAACTTTTACAAAATCTAAAGTATTTGAAATAAACAAATATTGCTTCAAGCTTAATCAGCTAATCAATGGAAGGGAACAGGCACATGCCAAGTCCATCCCACAATTAAATAAATCAAGATGTCCTGGCATGTGGGGCTACCGGATGGGTCACTTAGTTGGCCAGTGGCCGGTGGTCCGTCCACGCAGCTCTCTGCCAAAGCGGACAACTCGCAACATCCTCTAGTTTTGTGTTGCCACAATACCTCAAACTGCGTCATATCAAATGCCTTTTCTACCTAGCTTCTGCTGCTCCAGTCAGATTTCGGCAGTGGCAGCCGAGTGGACCTGTAAACACATTAACCAGCACAACAGTCTAACAATGAAGAGCGGCGATGTGAAAAACCCACCCCATAAAACCCAGGCAGCCAAAACAGCCTCTGTGGCTCAACAGTCACGAAACAGCAAAGCCTCGTCTGCAGGTCTGTCCCTGATAGTGCCTTATAAATTCAATCTTCCTATTGGTCCCTGGCATCCAGCAGAGACATGCACAGCAGAATGGCTCCAGCTCTTCATGCAGGGCCAGCCTAAGGTAATACGGGGTCTTATGCAGCGTTCAGTTTGAGCATCATGAACTCTGGTTTACATTCAAAGTCTACACTTACCGCCTCCTTTATTAGGTACACCTTGCTAGTACCGGGTTGGACCCTCTTTTGCCTTCAGAACTGCCTTAATCCTTCGTGCCATAGATTCAACAAGGTACTGGAAACATTCCTCAGAGATTCTGGTCCATATTGACAAGATGGCATCAAGCAGTTGCTGCAGATTTGTCGGCTGCACATTCATGATGCAAATCTCCTGTTTCAACACATCCCAAAGGTTCTCTATTGGATTGAGATCTGGTGAATCTGTGGAGTCACCAGATCACAATCTGGTGACTCCACAGATTCACCAGAATCTGTGGAATCTGTGGTTTCTTGTTGTGTTCAAGAAACCAGTCTGAGATGATTCAGGCTTTATGACCTGGCGTCATAAAGCCTGCTGGAAGATGGATGCACTGTGGTCATAAAGGTATAGACATGGTCAGGGATAAGTATTATTCCTGAGTATTATACCAATTGACCTGATGCTCAATTGGTATAATACTCA